TCCATCCATCCATCCATCCATCCATCCATCCATCCATCCATCCATCCCTACCTGATTTTTCCTTTACAGATTGCGAGGGTCACTACTGTCCATATCCATCAATTACTGTGCGAGAGACAGGGGACAATGTAGCAATCCCAAGTGACTGCAACATCAGGAAGAAGGAGCAACTGGAGAAATACCAAGAGCTGAAAGAGCAAATACAGAAGTTGTGGAGAGTCAAAGCATCGGTAGCCCCAGTGGTCATTGAAGCGCTCAGTGCTGCTGTGACCCCTAAACTGGAAAAGTGGCTCCAACAGATCCCAGGAACAACCTCAGAGACCTCTGTCCATAAGAACTCAGTCCTAGGAACAGCTAAGATACTGAACAGAACCCTCAAACTCCCAGGCCACTGGTCGAGGACCTGAGTTTGAAATGGAACTGCCCAAGTGAAAACAGGGCGAGATGGGTGATTATATTAACAATTATTATTTATTACGTAGTGAACTTGTTGCTCATCTGATGCAGACTACTTTTATTGAATCACATCACCAGTTTCTACATAACAGATAAAACATTGTATTAAAATTATGAACAGCACTGCAAAACAGCTGCCTCATTGTTCAGGGTCCTACACAGCGAAACAAAATTTGACCACAGAAAAGGAGCTCAACCTGAAAAGTAGCCTCAGACAAGGTTGTGTGAAAACAACAAGTTATATCTTAAAGTTTGAATCGTGAGTGGCAGAAGACATGTTGAACACAATTTCTTTGATTCTGCACTGATTTATGTAAGAGCTATGTACCTTCTGTTGCACCAAATTATAACTGAATTTGTGGAAATTAAGGTAAAACTGACAGTTTTATGGCCGTGAGACTGAAAGGAGAAAAAAGGTCCATGTTTTGTTGCACAATTTGTGAATGCACTGAACAAAGTTGTGGGACTAAAAACAGTTTCTTCAAAAAAGATTTGAACATTTTAAACAATTTGAAAGTGTGAGGTCATCAACTGTCGAACATTTCGTGGAAAAATCTGTGAAAATCATAGATCTTAAATTTTGATTGCCAGTAGAACTGTGGATGATGCTTTTATTCTGAAATCTGTTTGAGCTGTAGAGCATCAGGCCGGCACTGAGTCAAGAGTTTTACCAAAACCTCGTTGATTCACATCTTTCTCTTGGAGGTTTTTGTTTTTTTAGTTTTTTTATTCAATCTAACTTTTTTTTTTTTAATACTTTAACAATCTTACAGATTCAAAGTGCTGTACACAAATTAAAACACAAAAGTAAAAACAAAAGTCCTTTTAGTTTTAGTTTCTCTCCATTGGCTCCCTGTCAAATCCAGAACTGAATTCAAAATCTTACTTCTAACCTACAAAGCTCTCAACAACCTAGCTCCATATTATATTCCAGATCTTATTGTTCTATATTTTCCTAACAGAGCACTTCACTCTCAGACTGCAGGTTTACTTGTGGTTCCAGAGTTTCCAGCAGCAGAATGGGAGGAAGGTCTTTCAGTTCTCAGGCTCCTCTCTTGTGGAACCAGCTTCCAGTTTCTGTCCATGAGGCTGACACATTGTCCAGTTTTAAGACTGGACTAAAGACTTTCCTTTGCGATAAATCCTATAGTTAGGGTTGGCTTGTTATGCTGCTATAGGTTTACACTACTGGAGGACAAACTGGCCTAATTTCCTTAAATGAATTGTTAAAATTAAATAGTTTTTTCATTTGATACTATTTCTATCTTAACATGTGATTCTTGACCTGCCATTGTGTATCTGTTCTTCCCAAACCCAGCCGGTCGAAGCAGATGGTCCTCTTGTCCTGAACCTGCAGGGTTAAGGTTTCTGAGGGAGTTTTTTCTTTCCACTGTCGCCTTCATGCTTGCTCAAGATGACAGTTCTGTGATGGAGTTAAACTCAAAGCTGCTCCTCAGATAAATAATGTTCAATTATTATTTTAAAATATGAATGTTTCTGTTCAGTGTCCTGAGATGACTTCTGTTTTGACTTGGCGCTATAGAAATAAACTGAATTCTTCTTTCAGCTGCTCCCTTCCTCAGGGGTCATCCCCAACGGGGTGCAAAGGCGGAGCTGGGAGGTGGTCAATGGTGGCCTTAGCCCTCATAAATTAATCTTCAGCCACCCCGATCATTTGAGGACATTATACTTTTATGTAATAAAAACTAAAAAGCATAGTTTCCAAAAACATGTGGTGGTGGCCATATTGGATTTTGACGTGGCAACCAAAAGGAAACTTTCTTATGTCTAGATGCACCCACACATCAAAGTAGAAGTTGGTACCTCACTTATTTTTTGTTAGCATGCTCCCAACATGCACGGACAATCCCTCTTTTCACTCTGCGAATGGAGACAAAAAGATGAGCTTTAATTTGGGATTTAAAATCAGAAGAGGTCTCATGAAGATCATAGTTTGAATCTTCAGCAGATGGTGTTTGTGTGGGTTTTCCATGCATCAGGCTGAAGGAACTTTTAGGAACCTGCTGGTTCCAAATGACAGAAATCTTTCCCTTCAAGGTTTGGGAACTCCTGAGCAGATCCTGCGCACTGCTCACCTGCAGCATGTTGATTTCCTCCCCATCCTCCTCATCCTCCTCATCCTCCTCAGTACACAACGTGACAGGATCCGGCTGAAGCCAACCGGAGCTGTGATGCGCTGCTCCTAGTCTGATCTGGGATCGGTCCCTGCTGCGCCTCATCTGGAAACAAGCGTCGGGGGGAAATCAAACAAAACCACACATTTCATCACTGCCGAGGTGTGCGTGTGTTAGTGCGTGAGTGCGTTTTAAGAAGGCGAACGTTGTTGGAGAATAACCCCGTTTGGTGAACGCTTCCATCGGAGAAGGGGGTGGTGGTTCTGGACCGGTCTGCAGAAGGCAGAGCTGCTTGGTTCCGACAGATCATCCGCGGACAGAGGCTTTGAGGAGGTAAGAGCTGGTGCACATGTGCGTGATGCGTTTGTTTTAATGTGAAACCTGCAGGTGGAGACGGGGGGAGCCACCTGCGCACCTCCGCAAACACAAACAGGATCAAATCCGTCAACTGCAACAGGAAAACGTCCTGAAACGAGCCGTTTGGCCTTTGACGGGCTCTGCAGAGGCGTGTGCGCGTGTTCACATCATTTCTGCTTTAAGATGTGTGTGTTTGTCGCCTGGGCGCGCGCAGGAAGCAGGGATTGTGTGCAGGAGGTGAAAACATTCACTGCGTCGTTTCCATCGGAATGCAGCAGCGTCTCCTCCTCAGCTTCAGCACCATCCCTCATCTCCTCTCTGCTCCTCTCTGCTCCTCTCAGCTCCTCTCTGCTCCTCTCTGCTCCTCTCAGCTCCTCTCAGCTCCTCTCTGCTCCTCTCACCCACCAAACACCGACGATTCGAGGGGAAAACCGCAACATTTGTGTGCGCGTGTCGGTCCACGGCCTGCGCCGTCAGACCCGCGGCGGTTTGTTCTGGTTTGAAACGCCGCAGTTTTTACGCGTTTTCTGCAAAACGCTTGTCCTCAAGGTCACTGGCGGCGGAGAGGAACCTCAGAGCTGCGGCCCTAATGACTAATCAGGCGCTGGGAGCGGGATGTCTCTGCCCTGCGGGGGCTGCAGATTAAACAGAGCTCTCATGTTCCGCTGCAGCGCGCGAGGACAGAGCTGCTCGGTGCAGGCCCGAGCCAATGCAGTCCGACCTGCAGAAGACATGTCCACCTGCAGAAGACATGTCCAACCTGCAGAAGACATGTCCAACCTGCTGCAGACATGTGTCCAACCTGCAGAAGACGTGTCCAACCTGCTGCAGACGTGTCCAACCTGC